CTGGGCCCCGAGGGGAAAGAAGGGACCCAAAAAGCACCACCAGGACTCGGCCTCGAGGAGGGACTCCCGAAGCGGCCTCCCGGCCCGTTGGGGCAGCAGGGGTGGGACTGGGAGGCAGAGGCTGAGGACCTGGCTCTGGGGCGCCCCTGTGGGCCCCTCGTCATCGGACCCTCTGCCCCTAACCCGGGTGGAGGCCTCGGCTCCAAAGCTAAACAAACTTAGCAGCAAGAGCAACGAATATCCAGCCCCCCAGGCCCCTCCCCCCGACAGGCCCTTCTGCACCCGGGGTACCCCTCTCCCCTCTCCTCCTCCCCCAAAGTCAAGCCCAAGCACTGGAAGGGGAATTGCTGTCTCTCTACAAAATGCTGTGTGCGCAGCGCAGGTAGAGACTACTCTTGGCCAGCTTTCCCGGGGCGGGAAGGGCTGTGGATGACAATGCGCCAGCCATCGAGGGGGAGTGAGAGAGATGATGTGCTGCCGCGGGGAATCCTGGGGCTCCATGGCACCTGGGGACTCGCTGGCCTTCCTGGAGCCTCACTTACACGACACCTTCTGGCTCTGCCATTTACTAGCACCTGATCTCTTTCCTCCTCGCTTCTTCATCGCTCTCAGCTTGCAACTCCATCTCCAACCTCCCCTCCCCCCGCACATTTTGTTCTAAGGTTGGTAGGGAGGCTGCAGACCCCCCAGGACCCCTTGGCCCAACACATCCTGCTTAGTAAGTGATGTGTGTGTGAGGAGGGTTCGTGAATGTTGAATGTATAATAATGCTCACCAGAGCTGAGCTGTTAACAAGGCGCCCAGGGAAGAGCTTAGGGAGCGGGACCTCATCCCCCTCCCTCAGTATCTGCAGGCAAATCAGAGGCAATTTCCAGCCTTTGCCTGCACCAGGAGCTTTCCGGCCTTCCCTTTGTATTTGGCATCTCACATCCTTCTCCCTCTCATTCTCCTCCCAAGTTGCCACAGGAGCCTGGCTTTCAGATACTAGTGGGAGCTTCTGCCCATTCGGGGGCACTTATCTTTCCCCTTCACCAGGGTCTGCTTGGAGCCACCCCCAAACTCTCACTCCCACACTCATTCTTGCAGCCAGAGTGAGGGACAGGAGACCCTGTACCCCCCAATGCAAGCTTCACTCTGGCTGGGAGGTAGTGGTTCATTTGGTCTGGTTTTCCTTTGAAGCCCAAAGAATTTGCTGTTACAGTTTGTTGACCACATTGCAATAAAAGCTGGACATGATTCTCACTTTAGCATTTTAATTTTTTGGCAGCAGGCAGGAGCGTGACTCCTTTTGAATTGCTAGCTCAGCCACTTGAGGCTTGGGCAGGGAAGGAACCAAGAGATGGACCCCCGGACAGAGTCCCTCAAATCTCTGCTGGGACAGGCAGGCTCCTCCCGGCCTGGCACAGAGGTGGAGAAGGCAGGCTCCCAACTGCCCCCCGGCGCGGGTCTCCTTAGTGCTGCGCTTGGCGGGAGCCTTCTGGGCAAAACTGGCAGAGCACTGACCCCACTTGGTGCTCCCCCCTGCGATGCTCCCGTCTCCACTTGCTCCAACCCTTTGAGGAAAGGCGACTGAGCTGTAGTTTCCTGGCAACTTGGCCAACCAAGTAGAGATGAAGGAGGCAGCGGGGGTGGAACTGGGTCTGAACATTAGGGGTCAGGGAGATGAGGGAGGGGGAGGTCTTGGTTGGGATGGAAGGGTCTGCACCATCCTCAGACTGGCAGTCATCTCCAAGGATGGATTTCTGGGCCTCAGGGCCAGTCTCCGCAGCCACCTCACTCCCACCCTCTATCACCACAGAAGAGCCATGTGGCTGCCTCTGAAGTCCTGCTCCAGCAGGCTGGGTCCTCCTGGACCCAGGGGTGGATCCATGGGCAGGTGTGGGCCCCTCAGTTGGCCTTCTGCCTACAGTGCCGCCTGCCCTCCCCAGCACCGCCTCGTGCGGAGGTCTCCACGCCCCGCAGCCCCCTCTCCATTCCCCGCCCCGCCCCTGCGCAGCTCCTTCCGCGGCCCGGAAGCTCCCCGTGCCAAATCCCGGCAATCCCGCGGTTACTTCGAGTTGGGCCAAGAGATTGCTTGCGACAGGTAAATGGGCTGCGGGTTGCCGTAATGCCAGGCGTATTTTCAGTTAATAGGGAGGGAAAATGAGGTGTCTGCAGCGATATTGGAAAGTACAAGATCGATGATCCGGCCTCGTGTCCAATCAGCAGCCTTTAATTGACTGTATTTTCTGGGTAATTGAGCCTCCCTTCCTCCAAATTGAAGTGGAAGATGTAACAATACATCTTGCCAGGAGGAATTACTCATTATTTCATAATGAAATTTCCCTTTTGCCAAGGTTTGCGGTTTGGCGCTGGGCACGGCTTCTCCCATTCCCTCCCCCACCCGCGCACCTGAAGACAGGTTTGCCCGCCTGCATCTGCAGCCACAAGTGGCCTGATTCCTCCATGGGCGGGGGAGGGGGGAGGGGGAGGTAACCATGAATAAGACACTGCCCCTCCACGGGCGCAGCCATTTCACCTGTAAAATGAGAAGGCAGCGGGGCTGGAATGGTATTATCGTTACCATTTTTCAACATGCTGAACGCCTGTTTAGCTTTGCCCCGTTTCCATCCCATTTTGCAGGTGGGAAAACAGAGGCTCCTGGTCTCACACAGCCATGAGTGGCCCACACGGCTTTGAGCTTCCCGCTCCCGCTTCCTCTCCCTTGTCCTGAGCCTCTTTGGGGCCCATAGTTCACGGTCGGTCACCCCTCACAAAGTCTGACACCTCACTTCCCACTCACACTCCCTGGGCTCCTCAGCCTAGTGAAACCAGGAGGGCAGGGTCTGGTAGCAAAGACCCACTCTCCATCTCGGCCAGCCCAGCCCAGCCCGCAACACCAGCCGCCCCGCAGCCCCAGTGCGTGCTCAGCGCGGCCCGTCGCTCGCTTGTTAGCGAGTGATTGATTGCCTTATTAAAGCGTGTTCTTGTAAGTGTGACCAAACTGATTGCATTGCATATGTTTGGGATAATGCTCATTTTAAACAACAGGATAAAGAGGATGAGCTCCGCAGACAGAAATGATTCTGGCCAGCAGCTCCCTAACTCTGGCATTAAATTGCCCAGTTACATAGCAAATCACTTGGTTCCTCCACCCTGGTTCCCATTTTTTCCCTTGTCCTGCCGTTTGATCGAGTCCTGCAAGGTGGTGTGCCCCACTCGTGGCTTCTCTAGTGACCACATGGGCTGTCTTCCCAGCGGAGAACCCTGCACTCCCACCGCCCAGACATCCAGTCCTCCTGCCGCATCCCAGGCGGAGGGAAGAGGAGCTCAGAACCCATCACCCCAGGCCTCCCAGGGGAACGTGGCCGTAGGCCAGTGATGGCAAACCTTTTGAGCTCGGCGGGTCAGCATTTTGAAAAACCCTAACTTAACTCTGGTGCTGTGTCACATATAGATTTTTTTTGATATTTGCAACCATAGTAAAACAAAGACTTATATTTTTGATGTTTATTTTATATATTTAAATGCCATTTAACAAAGAAAAATCAACCAAAAAATGAGTTCGCGTGTCATAGGTTCGCCATCACTGCCTAGGCCGTCACCGCAAATGGGAGCCCAGGTCCCCTCAGCAAATCGCACCCACCTCACCCCACCCCCAGACCTTTCCCGAAAGTTTAAAAGATCCTTTTGTTTCCCAGGCTTCTCCCACTTGCTCGGTTGCTTCCATTATTCCTCCATCGAGAAAAGCCCCGCCACCATATGTCCGCCGAAGAGCGTGGGTGTCACAGCGGACAGTTGTTGAGGATGGCCAGACGGATGGCATTCTCCAAGTGGGAAGAGCTTTTCTTTGGTAGCATCCTCTCCATGCACATCGCCCCGGAGCGAGAAAGGGAGGAGTAGGAGCTATGAGTGATGGGGAGGGAAAGGAGGTTGGGGCAAAAAATTGGGATTTTTTTTTCCTAATTACTATACCCTCAACCAGGTTCTCTGTTTGTGCCTGGTGCCTAACAGACATTCTCAGCGGCCGTCACCCACTCCAGTCGACTTGCAGGGGAGCCAAACTGCTGGCAGATTGAACTTCCTGAGGGACACCTTTGGGATAGGCGGGCATTCTGAGGCGTTCAAGATGCTGGAGGTCATCGGGACGCGGGACGCGTCAGACGCGATGCCACTCTTCAGAGGGTCATTTGCAAGTGCAAGCACACGCATTCGTTGGCAAGAGCTAGAATGTGTCTGGATAAGCGACTTGATTCAAACGGCAAATTTCTTCCATCACTCAGCTCCTCCCTGGCTCTGCGGGGCAGGCGCGTCAGACTGCACTAGGGTGAAACCAAGGCCCAGCCCGCCATTTGTGCCAGCCTGAGGGACCCCCGAAATGTTGACCCTTGGGCGGGGGGCGGGGGGGGGGAAGCCAACCGCAAAACGGGTGCTACCGTCTACAAAGCAAACAGAAACTCAAAGTCGTTTCCAAAATCGCCTTCTCAGCAAATAAGTGTGTGATATTCTGAGCCAGAGCAGGAGAGAGAGAAAGATTGCCACTTAAAAATAACATGAAAGCATTAAGTAATTATTTAAAACAAGGCTGTTTAGAAAAATATTTGTATTTATTGCAGCTGCTCAATTGGCCTCGTTAAAGTCGGCAAGCATTTAAATTGTGTTACAATCTCATTTAAATCCCCTCCGTTCCAGCAGGCTGAAGAGCTTGAATAGACCAATCACTTCATAATGATGATGAATGAGAAATTAATTCAGATACAAGCAAGACAATTTAGGCCTTCATCTGTTTAAATAGCCTTCCAATATTATTCGCGATTGCGGGTCACAGATTGAATCAATTGTCCAATCTTGTGAAAGTCATATCCTTGCATCTTCATCCCGATTATTTATAGCGCAGCGAGGGCTGCTGAAAGGTATACGCTGTTAACAGGGACAATTACTTAAAGGGAAGCGTTTATAAAATGGAAAACAAATGCCGGGGTTAGGAACAAATGGGATCAAAAGCAGCCATTCCAATCTGGCTCCCCGAGGGAAGGGAGCGGCGCGGCTCCCGCGGGGCGAGGGGCTTACTGACAGCCTATGACGGGCCAGGCATTTGGCTTGCCACTGACAATTCACTTCGGCAAATATTTACTGAGGACCTACTATGGGCAGATGCTGGCATCAGTTCTGGATACTCAGTAATGAATGAAGCACTATGGTTCCTTACTCTCCTGGATCTTGCAGTCTAGTGGGGAATATGGGAGATACTGTTTATCTCCAAGTTTACAGATGTATATCTATGCAAGCGCTCAGGCCGTCGTCGCAGAGGCCGGGAGGCCGCGCTGAGCGCAGGGGCGGAGGTGCCTGGAGGTCCCTGGACTCGGGAGGCCCAGCCTCCTCTTACTCTGGGAAGAACCCCCACTTCCTGAGGGCGCCACCCCCCTCGCCGCCGTTCCTGAACAGAAAGCGCGCCTGGGGTCGCTGCACCTCTTTTCGAGCCTAGACCCCTTCCAGGCCGGCTTCTCGGGGCGCCCTCGGGCCTTGGAGTAGCGTCCCGTTCTCCAAAATAAAAATAAATAAAAAGAAGCGCCCCATCCTTCCCCAAGCAAGCGCCCTCCTCATCTCCTGAAATCACCCCTCCTGGTGAGGCAGTTCCCCGCCTGGTCACCCCGCGCCTCGCCTTGAGGGACCCCCATCCTGACGAGCCAGTCATCATGACTTCGAGGTGACATGTGCCTCCCCTTCCTCAGCCGGGTCAGGCAAAGACGCAGAAAAGTGGGCCCCGGGAGATGGGTTTGCTCCCCCCACCCACCCGTCCCCCCGCCCCAATCGGTACACGCGTGCTTGGCCATAACTGTGTGCCGCATCTACGCGGGCTCTGGGCGCGGGTCCTTTCTAGGAGGCGCTCTTCGGAGATGTAAGCGAGGTGGCTCGGAGCGGAGAAGCGGGAAAGGGC